GGAAGAAAAAAAAGAGGAGAAGGGAAAGAAAAAGGGAGAGGAGGAAGAAAAAAATTAAAGAAAGCGGCAGCGACAACGATAAAGGACAGGCAAGGAAAAAACAATAAAGGGGGGAGGGAATTTAGGAGAAAAACCGAGGGTATCAAGAAAGATTGGGACACGACAGATGGGAGTTCGCGAACGATTTCTTCAAGAAAGGGGAGAAGCACTTGCTCTGCGAGATCCACCGGAGAAAAACTGCTCCGCCGCAACCGGACCACCACCACTCCGTCGCCGGACAAAGTAGCTTCTTCCCCTACAACACCGGCCGACTCAGCGTCTCCCCGCCTTCAGATTGGGACGAACACCAACAACAACAACCGGGCAGCAACAACAACAACTGGTGCAACGAGTACTCACACTCACCGCCGCCTCTCTCTTCCCCCGGCGGCGGAGGAGGAGGAAACAACAACAACTATAGCAGCTCGTTCACCACGCTGTCGGAAGACAACGAGAGACTAAGAAGAAACAACAACATGCTCGTGTCGGAACTAGCCCACATGAAGAAGCTGTACACCGACATTATCTACTTTGTCCAGAACCACGTCAAACCAGTGGCGGCGCCGCCGTTCTTCTGCAACTCATCGCCGCCGTCTTCCGCCGCCTCCGCCGCCATCATCAATGGATCATCGTCGTCGTCGTTCTTGCCGCAACAGCAGCAGCAGGGAAATAGCTTCTCACAGAACAGCTGTACTGTAAGAAGAATTGTCGAAGATCCACCGCCGCAAAACAGAACTAAGCTGTTTGGTGTGCCGCTGCCATTGTCGTCGTCGTCTTCGAAGAAAAGATTACACCCAGAATACAATTCTTCGGTTGAGACTACCAAGGCTAGATTGGTAATTGATCAAACCCATGATTTAGGGTTGAATCTCATGCCTCCATGTTAGGATCTTAATTTATGATATTTATTTAATTAATTAATTATGAGCTATTTTAATTTCGTGGTTCTGTGAATAGAAGAGTACCGTACTAGTGCACCCGGGGTTTAATTTCTAGTTAGAATTAATGAAGAGATTCATTCCATTACTTTTGGTGATAATTATTTCTAATTTTGTTTTTTTTTTTGTCAATATTCTTAACAATTTACCAATGTATGTACAAATATAATTAATTAACAATTGCCCTCGATAAATTGAAGGGTTAATTACGGCTACGCCCTGAGGTAATGTTAAATTACGAAAACCCTCCTCATCTTTGGGTTACAACTATACACTTCAATTATGAATCTTCTTATATGTCAACTGTTGCGGTGTCAAATTTAGTGGAATCTTCTAGTTTACGTAGAATATTCTCCAGTCTGTACCCGTTTTACCGCATTCAATCTCTACATCAGATTGTAAATATCAGATTGTGGTGCATCAGAAACTGCATTTTTGCACAAAACGAATACAAATTAGAGAACATTCCACGAAATCTAGAAGATTATGTCAAACTTTGACACTATAAGAGTAGACGTGTAAGAAGATATATAGTTAAAGGGGTGGGGTGATTGTAATTATCACAACATGACGGGTTCGTTCGTAATTTAACCATACCCGAGGGGTGGCTGTAACTTACTCTAAATTGAAATATATGCATACATGCATCTACTGTTCTGTTCTTCATTTGTTTCTGGTTATGTTAGTATCTGAATATTTGAGTCAGACAAATTAATGAGAGAGAAGAGGGGGCCTGAATTAAATCAGAAAAAATAGCAGGGTTTGGTCGATGGGCAAAACTTTCTTGTTTTTTGTTCTCCAGGACTTGTCTGATCAATGCATTTATTTATCATACGTACATATATCACCATTTCCCTCCACTTAATTTAATTAATTAATCAATCCATTTGAAAAAAACTAATATTTAATTTTTTTTTTTTTTTTTTTTACGAGTAAACTAATATTTAATAATAATACATAATATTAAGAACATATTAGTAATTGGTAGATATGTTTCAGAGTTAGTTCCAATTATTGCTGTAATAATAATCACTACTTTTAAGGGAAAAGAAGGCCATCATCATGTGTCTTATCTCGGTTTTCTGGAAATAATAAAAATTTACAAATTAAAATAACTGCATAGTCAGTCACGCAAAAGTGAGGAATCAAACACAGAGAACAGAACAAAACACAATAATTTAATTAAATATAATATTTTACAATAAGACATGTAATATAAAATTAGTAACAATTATGGGGTAAATTACGCCACTCTTGAGGTAATTTTAAATTACGAAAAAATCCCTCACGTTTGGATAATTACGGCCGTTCATTTACTATAAATTTTTTTACACCCTTATGGTGTTAAATTCAATGTAATCTTGTAGATGAATGTTCTCTAGTTTGTACTCGTTTTATGCAAAAATGCAATTTCTGATGCACCACAATCTGATATTTATAAGTGAAGAGACAAATGTTATGATCATCTTGTTTCAAATTAATACGTGGAGCTCGAACTGGGTAAAATGGATACAAACGGAGAATATTCCACATGATATACAAATATTCTACTAAATTTGACACCGCGAGAATATATGAACGTGTAAGAAGATTCATAGTTAATGGGAGTAGTTATCGTCATTACCCAAACATGAGAGGGTTTTTTCGTAATTTGACATTACCTCAAGGGGATCGCAGTAATTAACCCTAATTATGAGTAAAAAGAGAGAGATAATAGGGTGTGGTATTCTATGATGAAAGCGAAATGTGGTAAGAAACTGACTGAAAAATGTAGTTTGAATTGTTTCAATCAAATGCTTCTATAATTTATATACTTCTTCTCATGACCAGAAAACCTTTTCCTTTTCCTACTTTAAGTATATTATGATCTTTCTCTTTTATCACATTCTTTTGATCCACCCCCC